ATCATTTTGTTTATGATTTTATCCATCGTGGTAATTAGGTTATGAGAGAAACTATTATTGATGAAGATATGACAAAAGTTGAGAATAATATCATATTTATGTTTTTATCATATTACCACGGTTAAGAAAAAAATTGACTCAAATACATAGAGACAACAAAGTTTTTGGAATTGAAAATTATGTTGTTCCATCATACATTTTCTTGCCCGACACATTAAAGGTTATTGGGGAGAACTACATGTTAAACATTTCTATCATTCAATTTTAGACCATGTAAGTCATATTTTCCTTTATGTGTCTGACATTACAATAATTATATTTAACTTATAATTCATTGTGTTAGGTACATGGGAAAATTGAATGTACAACAAGCAAAATCAAAAGTATATGAATTTATTAAACTCAATTCTTCTAAAAATTTGGAAACACAAAGATTCAAATATAACAATATATGCAACACATGGACGGGTGACTCTATACATTGAAGGATTAGTTTTTAATTTGTTTTTTTTTTAATTATGATAATATTATAACTAACTTATTTGTCATATAATGTAGGTTCCATTGACAGTTAATTGTAATCATTCTAAAATATTGCACTATGGTGTGGTTTTATCCCCTGCATCCAAAACTTACCCAAGAAATGAAAATCATATTACATGGGTAACTTTGTCTTTTTTCATTTAGTTTTAAAAGTTTAAATATATTGACTAATATTTGTCTATATTTTAATTAGAATCGTGTTTGAAAATAATATTTTAAGTAGAAGAGACAAAACAAAGAATTTACACTTCATTTATCCTAAGTTTATAAAATTATTTAATAGAGCCATAATTATTGTTTGTATATAAACTTCGAAAATAACATTGTGTTTTGTATATAGACAAATAAATTCATATGAATATGACTGTTACATCATGTATTGGATGTGAACCGTAGTTTGTGTGAATATTAGTGATTTTTAGACAGAGGTAGTTTATTTCAACATTTGTTAAGTTTATTACTTTTATGAATATTGCATATTAATGAAAGTCAAATTAATGTTTCAGATATTTCAAGATTCATCTCCATTGTTGAAAGATGATATGACACAATTAAGAGAGTAATAATCAAGATTTTTTATTCAAAATATATAGTACTTAGTTTTACAAGTTTAGTTTGTCTTGTACTATGTAATTTAGCTTCTAGAATAATTACTACTTTGAATTTTTGATAATTTAGTTAGATAATTATGTAGTTTAGCATTTAAGCAGTTCTGTTTTTAACTAGTTTATAGTTGTATAATTGTGGATAATTTAGTTAAATTCTGGATTGATTGGATTTTATTTTATTCAAAATTTGTATGTAGGTTTTAGTTGTAAGAAAAAAAAAACGGCTAAATTTTACATCTATTAGAACCTTAACCAACATAAATTTATGTCAAACCTAGTACTAATCAACGTAAATTTATGTTTGTTAGTGTTATGTTGAACGTAAATTTACATCGATTAAGGCTTTTTCTAAAGTGAAATTTATTATTTTTTGAATGTATTTCAAATTCTTCTATTTTAGTCATTTAAATTACCTTTTAAAAATTTAGGAAACTTTAATTCTGTTTTAATTTTTTTATTCAAACAAGTAATTTAATCTAAAGAGATTTAATTTTCACTCGAGCTAAAAATTTGGACAATTAAGTGAGAACTAAAAAACATTTTCCCTTGATGCTTCATTAAGAGTCTAAAGTGTTAAGTATGAATATAGGATTCATTAACTTATATTCATTCTTTGTAACATTAAATCACTTTTATTCTTAAACCAAAATGAATTCTATTTTTACAATAATTATCATATAGTTTTTGAATTTACTTTTCTCATATCAAATTTTCAATATTGAAATAATCTGATTGATAATATATGTAGATAGTTAGATAAATAGAGGATAAAAATAAAATATTTAATTATATCTGACTGATAATATTACTTTTTTGTCCACCGTTTTATTCTATTTTTATCATGATCAACAATTTTCCAATTATATAACAATTATATAAGATATAATTGTTTTCTTGTATTGGAAGAATGCAAGTTGGACCTGGATAATAAAAAAAGTTAAATACTTAAATTTACTTTTAAAGGATTTTTTTTCTCTACACCTCCATAATTTTTCCTTGTACCTCCATAATTTTTCCTTACACCACCATAATTTGTCCTGCACCCCATAATTAAATTAAATTCCATTTTACCCTTATATTTATCTTCATCTTTCATCGGTATTTATTTTTTATTTTGTTCAATGGTTGATGTTTAAGTCCTACTATAATATTTTCATTCTTTCTTCTTCTATTTTTCCAAAAATTACAAGAAACAAGTAAGAATGTCAATTTTTTTTTTATTTTGTATCAAATTTTTACATGTACATTATTTATGCAAAAAAACTTTTGGCTGAAAACACATTGTAGGCAGTGAGAAAACTTATGTTTGTTTCTTCGAAGAACATGTTTTATAAAGTGCTTTTCGGAATAACGTTTAGAATTGATTTTCTAAAAATGCATTATGAAAAGTGTGTTCTAGAATATATTTCTGAAATTAATTTTCCAGAAATGCATTCTGGACTCATTAATCCGAAATATATTTTCAGAAATATATTATGAAACACACTTTTCCAAAATATATTTCCATAACTAATTTTTCGAAGATGGATTCTGGATCCATCTTTTCATAACTGATTTCCAGAAATACATCTCACCCTCTATAATAATATTTCAGAATGAGTGTTCTGAAATGTATTTCTAGAAAAGTCAATTTGAAAATACATTCTAGATTGAATGTTTCAGAATTCAACCTCATCTCAGTGACACTATTTCATATTGAGCAATTTGGATATATTTGTACAATTTGAGTGTCAAAACATGTAATTCATATATAATATTAACTATTATTTATCTTTAATTGTTAGAAAAGACCTTTAACGAGGAGGATAACACAAAAAAGTCAAATAGGCAAGGGATGAAGATATTGAGGGACCAGCACGAGTTGTACATAAACACAAGAAGAAAGTAGGGTAAAAAAATTTATAAAAGGATATTTTAGGTATTTAACTTGAATAAAGAGGCACATGAATAAATCAGGAGCCGTTTTAAATTATTTGTATTCATATTCATATTATTTTATGCCCATTTTAAAATATTCATTTTAAATTCAATCTATATTTCTTAATTTTAATTTCAGTCCAACTAATTAGATTTATATTGGTTATGGATTAATTTTGTTTAGATTTTAAAACCCCTTTTGGTCAGTATATATATATATATATATATATATATATATATATATATATATATATATATATATATATATAATTTTTATTTTTATTTTACTTTTTAAGAAATTTTTTATTCACTCTACAAACTATTTCTTTGATTTGAACCATTTTCGAGACGTTCTTTCATCAAATTAGAGTATTATTGATTACTATATTAATAAATACTGTTTATCACATAAATTATTATTTATTTTCTATAGTAATTTTTAAAAAGTTAAGAGAATTTTAGTAAATGATAGATAATGGAATTAAAATTAGATAAACTCGTACATGTTGGGTTTGAAAGAGTTCTTTCCCAAATATAAAATTATCTCGCTAGTCTGAGGTTAAAAACAAAAACTGAATTGTAATTGTTTTTAAAACGTCAAATATTCATATTACAAGAATTCACGTGGGAAATGTAAACTCAAAAACAAGACGTTGATCTCGAAAAACAATTCTTCTAACAAGATCTGATCAAACAAAAATCTGAAAATGTTACGTTCATCATTTTGAACACAATTTTTATGATGCTCTCTTTAGTACCATCAATACCCAAACAAAATTAAGAAATAAACAAAATCTTCTGAATTTAAATTCTACAATACACAAATTTTTTATAGTCAAAATGACTTCATCTTTGAATATGATTCTCACCAAAATATTTGACAAAAATATTTTCCAAATTTTAATATTAATTTAATTTAATTTAAATTATTAAATGAATATAGAATTAATTTAATTTAATTTAAATTTATACTAAACTAAAAAAAAGATATAAATTTCATTTAATTTAATGAAATAAATTTTAATTTTATCTACTTTACTTGATTTAAATTTGAATTGAATATATATTAATCCATGCCCTGGAAGTAAGCAATGTTGTGATTTTTAAATCGATTCCAACATTACGTATATTTTTATTTCATTATTTATTAACCCAATATAATTATTTTAATAAAAAACCAACCCAAAAGAGATAAAATTATCTAAAAATCCTATTCAATATTTAATAATAATGGGGTATTTCTAAAATCACTGGAGAACAAATCAAAAGATTAGATGAAATGAGACAAAATAAAACTATTTTTTATAAACAGTAAATTAAAATTTAAAAATATTTCATAAAATTAATTTGATAAAAATGTTAACTTGGTAAAATATACACCAACAACTTCATCTTTATCTGTTGAAAAGAAGATTTGGAAAGGAAAAGAGGAAACAACTCATGACTAGTTTTCTTTGAAAAACTCCAAAAGATGTTCAAAAATGTTCAATACCTTATTCATTAATTTATTAAAATTATTAAAAAAAAATCCAATTTTGCTAAATCTCAAATTTCATTTAAAGACCTAATTTTTTAAATTTTACCTAATTTTACCATACATGGTAATACTCTTTGTACGAGAAGAGAAATTTTACTATGATCAATTAAATTTTCCAATGAATCAATAAAGTTTGTAAAAGCTTTTCACTCATTATAAAAAAAATCCTACTTTGGGTCTTAATTTTAATCTATTGGTTATATTATTTTACATTTGAATCCTTTATTTAATTATTTTGTTAATTAGTTATATACTATTTAACAATAGTACTTTAAATGGAGTGAAAAATATAAGGAACACAAACATAATATTGCCAGCCATTGAATGAAAATAACAAGTTTATAGGTTTGACCACAAAATATTCTTCAACATCAAGAAGAAAAAGAGTTAAAATACTAACTAAGAACACATTCATCTTCAAAATGTGCAGATTCTTTCTTCAATCTGAAATCTGGATTATTGATGGATCCAATGGTGATATCAATCTCTATCAAGTTTTCATCCTCATTGATGTCGTTAAATTCTGCTAACAGCTCCATTAGGCTTTGTTGCTTGAAAATGGAATCTGGCAACTTGGATTGTAATTTTTGCTCAGGATCTTCATTCAAGTCAGGAAAGAGACTGCATGGAAGATTGATTTCAATCAAGCTATCCTCTTCCTCCTCATCCTCATAATCATCCTCAGAAGTTATGCTATCAGAAATATTCTCATTTTTATTTCCTTTGTGATCCATCTCAAAACTTTCCCCCAATATTGAGCCAGCTCTGCTTTCAATATCTGATGGAAGTAAATAATCTGACAGCAAATCATCTTGTAGCCTGTTCTCTTGAACATTGAGCTCAAAAGTTTCATCCATGACAGAGAAGTTGCTGCTTTCACTATCTGTTGGAAATGAATAGTCTGTATGTGCTTCACATTCATACTCATGATTCACTGCTGTTTCACTTTGTTGGTTAACCTCACCATGAGTAACATCCTCTGCAGTTTCACTTTGTTGGTTAACCTCACTATGAGTAACATCCAGCCAAGGGTGTAGCTCATCTTGAACTAGATTTTCATCTTTGCACCTTTTTTTCTTTGTCAGTGTGACAAAAAACAAGGTGGATAAAAGGGAAATTAGTATTGTAAGAAGCAAAGGGAAGGATTTAGAAATTGAAAAGGAAAAATAAAATGTGATCACCAGAACAAGAACCATGGTCATAGGTGGGAAACTGACTAAATTGGAACACAGCTTGGAACAGATTTGAGGGTTATATGTTTTCTCCATGACCATTGACTCAGAATATACTCACTGCTTCAAGGCCAAACAATATGCAAAAACTGATGAAAGAAGAATACTTAGATCTATGAGAAAAACTGCAGACAAATTCTTCAATCAGAAGTTTTTTCTCTCTTACACAACAGATTGTGACATGGCAAGTCAGAAAAATTTTCACTAACTACAAAAGTATCTTGCAAGGTGGGATGCCAAAGGAAACTTTTAGGAAAAAAGTTTACACACTTTCAACTCTTTCCTCTATTATGCTCAATTAGTAAATGGTTACCAAAATGTCAAAAAGGTAGCTAAGGAGGGAAAGTTTTACCTCATCATTGTGACAGAGAAACTCATATCATAACTTCAGCTACAAGCCAAGCTGTTTCTAACACACCATACCTGAAATGGGTGAGGTTTTCCAATGCCATTGTTGTAAGCTCAATTTGCTTACACTACTGAGCAATCTTATCTGCAACTGCAATACACAACTGTTACTACTATTATTTTCTGACACCTTAATTTGTTGTCATTATTATCTCTATTTATTCTCTTGGAGGTGGCAAAGTTGTTTGTTCAACACCAACATTTACAAAACTAAGTCTTGAAGTTGCTGAATGGATGTGACAAACATGTTTGACCCTCCACATGTCACTCTATCAGGCCCTTCAATACATATCTCAGTATACTTAGGATCTTGATTTTCTATAAACCAAACATAAGCTAATTACAAAATAATGTCATAATGCCAAAATTGGCAACAACAAATTGATCAAAAGAATGTTAGTAAAATTTGGGTCATGTATATATATGATACATAATTTAAATGTGTTAGAATAATTATTTATTAAGCCAAATAATAAAGTGGTCTGACTAAATTAAAGTTTTGACTAAAAGCATATGTCATGAAAATAAAATTGTGTAGAGACCATTGAGCAATTTCTAATTTGATGAGGGACCAAATTGAAAATATTATAACTTAAGTAATTAACCTAATTCTGGTTATCTAAAGGGTCATGGTCCCCTTCTGGGAGCACACACACAGAACGTAAGTATCAGTCTCGTTCCTTTCTTTCTATCCCCATCAAGAGAGAAAATCAAGAGGGAAATACAGGTGCTCTTCAGGTGGAAGACCATAAGATCAATATAGTGCTCTACAAAGACATCATCGTTATGGCTAATTCGAGTACGCTTTCGCATTCAGTTTACAACATGTTTATCAGTATGAGATTATGTTTATGTTTGATCGTTAGAATCAAAATCAGGATTATTATTATTATTATTATTATTATTATTATTATTTTTCCAACAATTGGTATCAGAGCCGCCCATATTTGATTCATGTCTGTTTAATTTATAGAACCCTAATTATGAAAATTAGGATTAATTTTGTTTTAAACAATTCAAACTACCCAATTTTATGAACCCTAAGTGGAGAATAATCTCTAATTTTCGTGAACCCTAAAATTTAAATTTGGGGGTAACATCCTCAATCTGATTACGCTGTCGATGGAGCCGGTGGAGGAAGCTATGGATTTTTCTTCTTCTTCGTTTTTCCCTTTTATTTCGGTTTAAGTTTCAAGTTTTACTGAGAAAGAAATAGTGTTTCAAATTTCAATCTTTCTTGAATTGGGTTCTCTGTTCTTTTTTGAATATTTTGTTTTTATTTAATTTTATGGGTTTGGAATTGGGAGTGATGTTTGTGGAGTTCCCAACACAGAGAATATTAGGTAAATGGTGAATGTTTCCACATGTATGACTATTCTTATTTAAGGAAAATTTGATGTTAAATTAGGGTTTGAGTGATTACTGTTTAATTCCCTTTTAGGGTTTAGAGCAGTATGCTAAAGAGACTCAGAACTATCTCTGTTTCATCCCTAGTGTGATTTTAGGAAGATGTTCATCCTTTATGTATTGGTGGAAAATGAGGCCTTTTTTCATCCTTTGATTTATTCAAATGAGGTGTTCATCCCTAATGAGATTTTAGGGAGGTGTTCATCCTTAGTAGAATTCTAATGAGGTGATTCTCATTTGAATTAGTTTGCAAATATTAAATATTTGGTTTTGTTATATAAATAAAATATTCAATTTTTGGTAGTTTAATATTTTTTGTGAGCAAATTGAGTCAAGAAGTCACCAAAGTAACTTCTCTTGAATTGGGCAGTTCATGAAAAATATTGAATGTTAGTGTTTGTGTATATTCATGCGAGTATTAGTCGGCCCAAAGGAAGATTAATATTTGGCCGAATTGCATACACACTTGTAATGATAAACATGTGATAATTATAAGGATTTGCTTTGTCGATGATAAATCAATCCAAAGACTGGTTTGTTGTTGGACGTACTTTATTGTCAATGTTTGATTATTACAACAAGATACCTCTAGCGAGTTAATATTACTTGTCCAAGGACTTGATATTGATGGTGCATTGGGTATCTTGAGATGGGTTAAACCACTATTTGAATATATATTATTTATTTTTTATATAATGTGAGCATAATTAGTTTATTTCTCGTGTTCTAAATTCAGCTACAATTGCTTCTATATCTGCCAATTTAAATTCTATTCCGGTCCTCAATGGAACAAATTTTAAGGACTGGAAAGAGAACATTGATATTATTCTTGGTTGCATGGATATGGATCTTGCGTTAAGGACTGAGCAACCCCCTACTCCTACGGATTCAAGTACCTCTGAACAGAAAAGAGATTATGAGAAGTGAGATCGCTCAAATCGCATGAGTCTAATGATCATTAAGCGCGGCATTCCGGAGGTGTTTAGGGGCACTGTTTCTGAAAACATCACAAGTGCCAAAGAATTTCTTGCTGAAATTGAGCAGCACTTTGCAAAAAAGCGATAAGGCGGAGGCAAACACTCTTCTTCAGAACTTGATCTCCATGAAATATCAAGGCAAAGGAAATATCAGGGAGTACATTATGAGCATGTCTAATATTGTTTTTAAAGTCAAGGCACTAAAGCTTGAACTCTCAGAAGACTTGCTCATTCATTTGGTGTTGATTTCTCTTCCTGCAATGTTTAATCAATTTAAGGTATCTTATAACTGTCAGAAGGATAAATGGTCTCTTAATGAGCTCATTTCACATTGCGTACAAGAAGAGGAAAGACTAAAGAAAGACAAGACAGAAAGTGCTCATTTTGCAAGCACCTCCAAGGCTAAGGGCAAAAGAAAGAGATCAGAGGATCTCGAGAAAGAAGCTGCTAAGGGTCCAGAACAAAAGAAACAAACTCAAGAAAACAAATGTTTCTTTTGCAATAAGACTGGACACATAAAGAAGAAATGTGATAAATATTATGCTTGGCGTGAAAAGAAAGGGTTGCCTAAACTACCGAAAGCCAATTGATTCTAAAAGATGGATTTATGTTGGAAATGGCAAATCGGTAGAGGTGGAAGCTATAGGGCATTTTAAATTGTTAATGAGTACTGATTTTTTATTTGATTTGAAAGACACTTTTGTTGTGCCGTCATTTAGACGGAATTTGGTTTCAGTTTCTTATTTGGACAAATTATGTTATTTGTGTTCATTTGGAAATAATAAGTTCAGTTTGTCTTTTAATTCAGATATCGTTGGAACTGGTTCACTTTTGATTTATGATAATCGGTATTTACTTGATATTGTGGTCACCTATAATGAAACCCTTAATACAGAATGACGTGGTACTAAACGTAAAATTGAAAATACTCATTCAGGTGCATTATGGCACAAGTGCTCAGGTCACAATCAAATCGTGACGTTTGAGCTTGTGTTACACTCTTAAAGATATGGTAGAGAGTATGATTTGTCATTCCACCTTACTGGAATCACTTTGGGGAGAGACACTAAATACGAAAGCTTATATTCTAAACAGAGTACCAACTAAAGCAGCTACCAAAACACCTTATGAGCTTTGGATTGGGCGACAACTTAGTCTGAAGCATTTCCATGTGTGGGATTGTCCAGCTGAGGCAAGACCTTATAAGTCAAATGAAAAGAAATTGGACTCCCGAACAGTAAGTAGTTATATTATTGGTTATGCTGAAAGATCCAGGGGATATAAATTTTATGATCCCACATTAAAGACAATTTTTGAGACAAGAACTGTTACGTTCTTTGAGAATATTGAGTTTGGGGGGAAGAATAAGATTAAGAACTTTATCTTGGAGGAAGAATCGGTAACAATTTCAGAACCGATTCAAATAGTTACTTTTGATAAAGTAAGTTCGGAACCTCCACAAGGCATTGTTGATGAACCCCTTACTCAAGATGATTTGGTTGTTCATGAAGAACAAACTCAAGATCCTCAAGAACCTGTGCATCATGAGCTAATAACTTTGCAGAGATCCACTAGAGAAAGAAGAAGTGCTATTTGGGATGATTACATGATATTTCTTTAGGAACATGAGGAAAATAATGATATAATGGAAGATGACCCAGTTAACTTCCGTCAAGCTATATAAGGTTCTAACTCTCAAAAGTGGATTGAAGCAATGAAGGAGAAGTATAAGTCTATGCAAGACAATAAGGTTTGGGAACTTGTTCCATTACCAGAAGGTATGAAACTCATTTGGTTTCAAAATGAATATTGTTGATGATTGTGTGTATCACAAATTTAAAGGGAGACAAGTTTAGTCTCAATCAGTGCCCAAAGGGAAATTTGGAAATTGAGGAAATGCAACAGATTCCCCATGAATCAGCTATCGAGAGTTTGATATATTCCCAAATATGTACGCATCCAGACATAACATATATAGTTGGAGTTCTAGGCAGATATTTAAGCAATCCAGGAATAGACCATTAAAAAGCAGCAAAAAGGGTCGTAATATAAGAGAACAAAAAATTATATGTTCACATACAAGAGGTCAGACAGGTTGGAGATCGCTCAGATTATTATTATTATTATTATTATTATTATTATTATTATTATTATTATTATTATTATTATTATTATTATTATTATTATTATTAATTTTCCAACAAAGAACACTTTTTTTCTTTTTTTCCCTCGATTCCAAAGGCGTGCATTTTCGAACATTTTTCCTGGAATGAAGCTCAAGTTGAGCACTTTTATTACTTTATCCTTTCCGACAAGATGTCAACTAATACATAATAAATACCCTTAAAATCCAGCACAACCTTCTGTAATAATTAAGGACAGTCAACAACTTTCCTCACGCTACCTTTTGAGGATTGAAAGGTATTAAAAGAATAATTTTAGCAGTTCTTTACATTTACTCTTTATTTGTTGATTATAGAAAAACTTAAATATGTTCCTTTATAATCTCTTAAATTTTCTGCTTATCATGATTTTACATTATATTATATTTGTTTTTTTGTAAATATTTTTAAACACAGAAATGAAAACTGCAAAATTAATTTAAAATTTGAAGAATTAAAAATATATTTTGTTAGTAATTAAACTGCAAAGAAACTCTG